TTGTTGTGTGAAAGGGTGTGCTATTGTTATTACTTGTACACCCCTGTACCAAACACAGAGCGCACACTCAAATGATGATTGTTGAATGATTAGCTATGCATCTGCCTACTTAGGGGTTTTGGGGGGCTAATTGTTCTGAACTAATACATTTTTGAGGCCACCAGTCATATTTCTTGGTTCTATATTATTTGCCTTTTATCCAAGATTTGCTCTTTTCAGATACATAAACCACCTATTAATCGTTCCAGCACAGCATTGCTATCCATTCTTTGGGACTATAATTGTACCTTCATCTCATCTTGCATGAGACTTGGCTATCCCTCTTTTAATATAAGAATTTAATTTCTAAGATGATCTTGTTTCAAGATTTGTCATTTTTCCTACATCAATTTATCTACATCTTGGGAATTCAGATGAGCTGATTAACATGATAATTAAGCATTATGAAGTTTCTCAGAATTAATTTTATATTGTAACATTCAAGCCTAAAATTATGATGAAGGCTTCTGACATCACAGCCAACTTATTATGCATATTCCTGTCCCATTAGCTCAATAAGATGCCAGTTTATTTGCATATTATTGCTTGACCCTGATGTTATGGTCAATTAATTTGCATATCCTTATCTAATTGGCTCAAATAAGTTTTTGCTGCTTTATACATTGGCTAAGTTCCCACACTAGTGGCTTTTATACAAATCGATTGAGTTTGGAGTAGTTCTCTGTCATGCTTTCAGCAGCAGTGCAGGGCCCGGGAAGAATAAAGAATATTCTGGAACGATTCCAGAATATACAAAGGACCTGTCTATGACTTTCAGGGGAAGAGACAGAAGGAAAAGGAGAACCGTTCAGAAAGGTGGGTGTCTTTCAGGAAAGAGGGCACTGCAGTGATGGAAAAATAGAACGTACTTCAGAAAAGTATATTTTATATTGCTGACAAAAATGGTCTCACATAGACCGGGGCCTGTACTGGGCCTCAGCTAAAATGATAGTGTAATATTTATACCTCCGAAACTGGTTTTTAGATTTAAGACTCATAATAATAACATGGTGTAGGCTTGATTAAAACATAATCTACCTATCTGAGGTAATCTCTGAGAGATTAAATTTTAATCTGAGTTCAGTGTGATTCTGATGTACACAGGCAAAATACCACACCTTGATAAATAGTACTGGAAAGATGACCAGCCTCTGCCCATTCAGGTTTCTACGTGGAAACTACCTGAGACTTGCGGTGGATGAGTTGAAACTACCTCAGACTTGAGGTGGATGAGTTGCTCTTCCCTGGATGACCTTCCCCCAAATATTTCAATCTGTCTGTGGAGTCCTGGTGGTTGGACTGTGAGCCACGTGCTAGACAGTTCAAAACCACCCCACACTGAACCAGTTGATTAAATTGTCCATTGGTTGCTTTCTTTCATATTTTGTATATCTAGCCTAATATTTGAGATATTTATTAATATAATAATAATATTTACTGTGCTCTTAGGTGTGCTGATACAATGCACTCTTAGTTATTTTTCACAATAATCTTATTAAGGTTCTTACTCCCACTTAAAGATAATGCAACTGGAGCTTCCAAAAGTGAAGTAACCTGTCCAAGGTCAAACAGCTAGTTGGTGGCAAAGTGGTATCTAAACCAGCCAAAAACTCTACTTTTCTTCCAATTAATTGACCCATTACCAGGAAAGGCAGTGTACATTGGATTACCTGGGATGCTCTTGTTATATAATTTTTATCTTCTCGGGCACAGGTCAACTTACTCTGAGACAGACCATCCAAATGCTTAAAGTTGTTTTGATGGTAAGTAGGTTGAACAATTTGAAATGCAAGACTTCATTTTTTCAGGTCACAGCTCCATTGTAATTAATTCATTATTCATTCAACAGTTACATTCATTGCCACAAGTCAGTAAGGGCATTGTGGGCGGTATAAATATATAACACAATCTAGTGAGGACAGTGATGTTGGAGAGTATAAACAAACTGCTATTGGCATCTAAAAAAGCTAAAATTTTTTTCTACTGGAATGGATCAGAAAAGGCATCATGAAATCCCTTCACTGAAACGTCTCCTTCCCCCAGGCAACCACGGCTCACTGCTCCACTTCTTTCAGGTCATTGCACAATTGTCATGTATTTATGAGATCATCCTTGACTGCACATTTAAAATTATATTCCCTTCGTATCCCCTAAGGAGATCCCTGGTGGCACACTAGGTTTAAGCACTGGGCTGTTAACTGCAGGGTTGGCGGTTCAAACCCATCAACTCTAATCCTTGGGCGAAAGGTGAGGCTCTCTGCTCTTGTGCACACTTACAGTCACGGAAATTGTGTAGAGTAGCTCTACTCTTTCCTATTGGGTCTCTATGAATTGACAGCTACTGGATGGTAGTAGGTTTAGCAAACATTATTGTTCTCCCCAGTTTTACGTTCTCCTAAGTCTTTGGCTGTTTTGTTCATTGATGTAAGTTTAATGCTAAGAACAGTGCCTGAAACCACACAGGGACACAATACATATTTGTTGAATGGATCGTGAATTGCGTCATGTGTTTGGGACATCAGTGATTATGACTTAAGTCAACAGGCAACAGAGAGCCCTTAAGGATAGGACTCATTAAAGACAAGTAACCTTAAAATATCCTTTTTTAAGATTTAGTATTTAAAAATTAAATGATAATAAAATTTAATTAAGAAACTAAAATCATCTCAGGTCATTCAAATGCAAGGATGCCCCCAGGTTATGTGGGTCCAGAGGCAATATTGTTTTAAGAGTTTTCTTTATTGAAAATAATATAAAATAATCAGCATGATATCAAACATGGCCTCTAGTTTTTCCCTCTTTGTCACCATGGTAGAGAGGGCAGGAGTCATCGGGAACCCTTCCCTTCCCTAGGATGGGTATCAATAACCTAACTGGGTATGGACAGGACTGCCAGCCATAATAAATACCACTCAACCCATTGCCATCGGTCTGTTTTCATTCAGAGAGATGCTACTGGGCAGAATAGAGCTGCTCCCGGGGTTTCTGAGGCTGTCAATTTTTACAGGAGCAACAAATGCAGTGAAATTCACATTTCCTCTACCAGATCTTAAAGAGGCGTGCATACCTTCTGACACCTCTGAACCGAAGGAGACTGGTTCTTGGGAAGTCAGTGTGAGAAGAGACAATGAATAGGCTAACACCTTTCTATAACCATGGGCATTCATCCTAAGGGCCTTGGGAGAGTCCTAGAATGAGGGGCCCTGAGGTTGGTCGGCTTCACGGTACATCTTCTGGAACTCTGGAGAAGGGTATAGGATGAATTGTGAGGAAGAACATAGGAGTACTAGGTACAGGGTAATGAGGGGATGGTTACCACAGGAATTTGGAATAGAGCAAGTGAAAGAAGATGCAATGGAATCCCTGAAATAGTAGAGTCATTGCTTCAGGATATGATGCTGTAATCTGAGAGTAAACTATTTTTGCAGTTAAAAATGTTTCTATATTTTTATCACATATAGGCACATGAAAAACTGCTTACATCTTTCGATATAACCGTTTATTTCTTTATTTTTGCTTTATTTCTTTAAATTTGCTCCATGAGGCTTTCTGACAGCAAAAACAATAAGGCATTAAATCGGGTCATAGTGGTACGAAAGAATTAATGAAGCTTCCCTAGGTGGCTTATGTGTAAGGAGATCAAACTGAGGCACTAGGCGAATGGGGTTGACAAATCAGCACTCCAGTAAACTGGAAACCTGGCTTTAGCAGTTTCTTAGCTGTTTTGCTTTAAAATATAAAATCGCTATGCTGTATTAAGGTAACTTTTTAAGTTGTCAATTTTCTTATTAGAGAAAATACTCAGTAGTCAGAATTGTTGAGTCAAATTCTACAGCCACAAGCAATCACTATGGTCTACTTTTAATGACTTAGGGACATAGCATGAAAATTCCTCATGCTTTATTTTATGTCCTAAAATTACAGAAAATTAATTGGATTAATCACACAGAGATGGAAAAAACCATTATGTTCAACCGTGGAAGCCTCAAGCCCATGGGCTGACTTTGCTGTGGAAGAGGAGTGTCCAGGTATCTCACATTTAATTGTGCTTCATAAATCTTGAATGTGTGTGTTTTTTTTTAGATATTTAAGGTTTGTGGCAACCTTGCTTTAATCTACTCTATTGGCACCATTTTCCAACAGCGTGTACTTACTTCATGTCTTTGTGTCACATTTTGGTAAATCTCACATTTCAAACTTTTTCATAATGTTACAGCACGTGTCATAAATTACAGTAGAGCATCAACCTAACTTTCGTATGCATTGGCCAATCATAAAATTCATGTTTTATTGTGGTACTCACCTTATTGCAGTGATCTGGAACCAAACCTTCATTAGCTCTGAGATATGCTTGTACTTTACTCAGATATCACTAAGGTTGGGATCTATAGACATTTTTATGCAAAAGTCTCCCCCACCCCCGACAAAAATTATCGAGAAAAGAAATACATTGTCACTAGGATTCACACACAGAACTTTAGTCATATATTGAAATGTGAATCCCTAATAAAATCATATTGGGAAAAAACTATTGTACTTATAAATACCTAGTGAATCTCAGAAAACACTTTTTTTTACAGCATAGATGAACATAGACCAACAAAAATAGCAACAATCAAAACAACAACCAACCCCAAACCCAAATTCAATAAAACTAGAACCTGTCTCAGGCATTGCCTTTAAGAAGAGAAACAAAAATTGTCAGTTATCAGTGCCCCAAAGTGAGACTTGATACTTTGCTTATGAAGCAGGAAAACAGGTTTTATCTTATATGTCAATTGCAATAGATTGAGAGTAACTTCCTAGGGCACTGGGCTGTGATGAGCTCTGAGACTGCTTCCAAGCTCCGTCGGAAAGAGAACTGTGATCAATAAGGCGTGGGCTGTCACAGCGACTGTGCTATGCATTTGGTATCCATGATGAATAGCATTTAAAAAAATCAATCAGCATCACAGACTTACCAGATAAGCCACCCACGTCCATCTTCTTCAGGTTCTTCGCCTCCAGAATGACAACGGTCAGTTTACCGGCAGTAGGTACATAGCGAAGAGAGAAGCAGATATCTCCCAATTTTTCTTGCTATAAAAATCAATAAGAAGCTATGAATACATTTTCAAATAAAGGTCAGCATAGTAAAGAAAACCTCAAAAACTAAACTCATCTCTATTGAGTTGTTTCCATTTCACAGAGACCTGTTATAGGGTTTCAGCTCATCTTTCTCCCACAGGAGAGCTGCTGGTTTTGAACCTCTGATCTTGTGATTAACAATCCGGTGCTTATCTCTCAGCACCACCAGAGCTCCTTAGTTCACACATATATACATGTACACTGAAAATTCCTCAAGAGGAACGCTTATGACTATAAGAGTTTGTAAACTCCTAGTTCCATTGGCACTTACACAGTGGTGTTTCATTCACCAGGGTAACATCAAGTGTACCTAATTGTGGTGAGAGTTCTGTTATGTGGCCTTTTGATTGACGTTTGGAAAAACAGTTGGAGAGATTTTGCCCCTGCACTTTCAGAAGTTTCTTTAGTCTTAGTTTTATACCTTAGAGAGCATGTTACTTTTGTCCAAGTTGACAGTTATTTTCTGGGCAAGCTGTAACAATTTGGATTAGTACTTCGAGTTTGGCCCTGTAGCTTACTTACCCTGTAAGTGATATGCACCTTGCACGAATTGAATAAGAGACTATGTAAATAAGGTGAGGTGTAGCTTACTATGCAAATGAAGCGTATGTTTCCTACCAAGAGGCACTGGTTAGTTTGCAGTTCTGGCAGGAGTCTATGCCTTGAAATTGTGTATTTAAGCAGCCAGCCTCACAAAGATTTTGGAGACAGAAAGAAGCATCAGGAGGAGGTAGAAGGATGCAAGGAGATATGAGAAGAAGCTGAGAGAAAAGAGGTGACGAACCTCCTAAGAGAGTTGTGACAGGTGTCAAGGGTTATAACACTGAAGGGCTGGGAAGGAGCCCAGTGGTGGAACTGGCAGTGAGGGCGCTGGCAGGAGACCTGCATGGTGGAGAAGAGTTGAAGACGGGAGGCTTGGCCTCCATGTTTCTTGATCCCTAACCCAAGTTGTACCCTACTTGGCCTCCATATTTCTTGATCCCTAACCCAAGTTGTACCCTACTACTTCCTTAATAAACCACTTAACTGCAAGTATGGTCTGTAAGTTCTGGGTGGCCATTGAAAAGGTTGGTCAAACCCTGTTGAGAAGTGAAAAATGCCATGGCCAAGAAAGGACGGCTGGTGTCAGAACCGATAAAAAGGTTGGAGAGGAGAGGTACATCTAACCTCTGACTTATAGGAATCAGTTTTGTGCTGTTCTTGATGTACATTTTGAAATCAGTTACCTCACCTTGAGTCTTACTCTAGGTTTACGAATGAAGTGCACACCATTGTTCAACACAGGTAGAGTTTGCCTTCATATTCAAGAACATGAGCATGCAAGAGAGAACAGCTATGTGGTTCACTGAACCTTTTTCACATACTGAAGACCAGAATGAATTGTGACAGGGAATTCTTTATTTCCTGAAAAATCAAGATTCATTTCTTAGTGATTTTTTCCCCTGAAAATGTGAATCCTGATTTCAAAAAAGGGAAGTGATTAAGCCAGATTTTCACAGACTTTTGTACATTCCTTCTTCAACAGAGGGATGCAGGCCATCTTTGAAGAACCTCACAAGTTATGTTCTAATTATGATTGCATTTTGTTTTATATTAATCTGTCGCATATATGCTGTCAGCTCAAGCTTCCATATATGGAACTTACTACCAGGGTACAGTTTAATAATTTAAATTAATATAATTATTTTGGGGAGCACTTATTAGGTTCATTTTTCAAAAACTAAAGGTGTCTACTTGTTCTATGATTTATATTATCAATATGGTTTCTGATTATTTGAAACCACCAGGTACCTTCTGGGAGAAAGATGAGGCTTTCTACTCCCGTGGAGACTGACACTCTCAGAACCCATAGAGTGAGTCCTTCTCTGTCCTCAGGGTCGCCATGACTCAGCATTGACTCCGTAGCAGTGAATATACAATAAAAGCAATCTACTCATCTTCTCAAAAAAACACCTTTTGGTTTTAAGTTTTTCTATTATTTCCTGCTTTATTTAAAAACTGATTTTGGTATTGCTAATTTTCTCTTGTTGCTTATTTTTGATTAAATTTTCTTTTTCCTAGTTTCCTTGATTTGAAGTTTAATAATTGATTCCATATCTTTCTTCTTTACTGAGATAAGCATTCAATAATAGACATTTCCCTCAAAGCACGGCTGTGCTGTATCACACTAAGCTTTATTTGCTGCATTTTCCTTTTCACTTAGTTCAAGATGTTTCTTAACTTTCAAATAGATTCTTCATTGGCTCACTTTTTATTTAGAAATGTGTTGTTTACTCTCTAGATGTTGAGACTTTCTGACTATCTTAAGCTATTAATTTTTAGCTTAGCTTCATGGAGGCGAGAGATAATTCTTTGCATGATTTTACTTTTGTAAATTTGCTTACTTGTGCTTTATGGCCCAGTATGGCCTATGTTGGGAAATATTCCACATGAACTTGAGAAACATGTGTACTCTGCTGTTGCTGAATGAAGTGTGAGTATTCTGTAAATGTTAATTAATAGAGTTGGTTCATGGTGAATATATTCAACATGTATGTATGGGTATTTATAGAAAATGGTGTCTCTTTTTGCTTCAGTAACTGTTCTTTGGTAAGAGTCACCACATCTGTTTGTAGCTCTAGTTCTTGCGTTCTCGCAGAATCTTATGTACATGTGTCTGGGGTCACTGAGGACTTTTGTTTGGTCATGTTGGTACACGCCTTAAGTCTCCTGCAAGACTACACTTCTTGAAGACAGGATCATTACCTACATTATCATTCTCCATGCATTTTCAATACTAAGTCAATGAAAGTTTTAGATAATACTCCCTACTTTGAATGATCTAGGCCATAGCTCCCTCCCATTAGTTAGATAATAAAGAGTTACTTATAATGTGCCAAATTCACCTGACATGCCTACGCACCCCTAGGAATTAATTTACACATCAGGAGAATCTGGTGGAATAAATTGCTTTTCACAGTCTCTGAAAATAGGAAATGGGAGTCACTATCACAGAAATGAATACAAAGTATGGCCAAATTCAGTTGAACTTTGTGAGGCAAGAGAAATGTAAGTGAACAAAATCATTGTTCAAAAATGCTCATTAGGAAGAGGGTTCTCTGTGCAGGAGCTGTCTATTCTTTACAGGAGTCTCCCAGGGGAATCACTGTGTTGCAGAATCCGGGTACTCTTACCAGGTCTAATGAGGCATTTTAGACAGGATTGCACCCTCTTAACTGACACCTCTCTTTATGGTCCGTAATCGAATCCCACAATTAATTTAAGAGCATCTTAGTGTTTTAAACTCTGAAATGTCAAAACCAATGTTTCTCCCAGGATTATTTTATTATTTAATCTGATATCTAGGGAATTGTTTTTGATATTTTAAATATATTATTTAGTGTCACAAGAGAGCACTTATCCATTTGGAAACCATGCCTCAAGTGGGAGCAAGCTAAGAAGTAACCTACAGTTGTAAAGCTATGTGCTGTGGGAAAAGGCGGATGTTTGCAAGAAAAAGTCAAAATGATTCTTTAGGAAAATAGAGAAATATGGAAAAGTGAAAAATTTTACATTTTATAGAGAGCTACATTTAATTCTATAATTTAGGAATTTAAACACATAAACTTTTATTTGCTCATAAAGTTACCATATTTGCTATGCCAAGTTAAATATGCATTTATATACTTATATATTTATTTTTCAGTGTTTTAAAATTTTATTACTTAAGCATCTACAAACTATATGTAAGCTAATACGGTTTCCTTGCTCTGGGATTTCATAGACTTTAATAAGAAAATCACATCAAAAAAAAAAAGAAAGAAAATCACATTATCTATGAAAAATTAATGAAAATATTAAATGATATAAACTTTAGTTTTATTTGATACATTTCCTGAGTTGTTACTAACAGATGTATAAATATATGCCCTTTCTCATGCTTTAAAAAGTCAGCCTTACTAATTACTTAGAAATAATTATTTAGGACAAAGTTTGAGACTTGAAACAACTTTCTCTTATTAAACGCGAATTCAAACCTTGGTAAATGATCTGGGTGAATACAAACATGACTGCTAGTGCTGTCTTACATACAGATGATGTGGGAATCTGAGGTTCACGCAGAAACAGAGGAATCAGAAAACGTACCACAGGAGAGTGCTCTTGTCACCTGCAGGTGGAACATCGATGACAGAACTGACGGCTCTGTCATTTCCTAAAAATGCATTCTGTCTGTTCCTAGAGTTTAAAATAGACCCTATTGAGCCTATAAAGGTTTTACTAATCTCTTGTCATCTACATAGACTAGTGGGAAAGTGCTGAAAGATTTACATGGACATTTTCATACCATTATTTCATTGTTTTTACATATTACTTTGAGAGAATGATTATTGATACAAACATTTGATGTTAAACATTTCATTTATTGCTCAAAAATGATAGAATACAAGATTTTCTCATTAAAATATTTTTCTTTGGTGGTGGGGGGGGTGTATCATAATGAGAAGAGAAAAAATTCTCAGAAAATTTACAAAAAGGCAAAGAAAAATACCCAAATCTACATTTCTGATCATTTACAATCCTGATTCATTTTCTCCACCACAGTCTGTGAAGTAGGTACTGTAATGTTTATTTTAAAAATAAAGATATTGAGACTCAGATAGCAAATATGAGGAGATAACCCTCAAAACTGATGCTCATTTGTTTTCTTGTGAGGGGGATAAGGCATTTGGGGTTCATTCCACGAGGTCAGATTGTTAATCAAGCTTCTATTTACAGGTTCTAAAAAGATTGCATAACAGTGTGTGACAAAAAAGGTCTGATTTGTGGCAGATGAAGGACTCGTTTTGCCATCACGACAGTGCACCTGTTCATGCAGGCATCTGTTTTTGTTTGGGCAAAAAACAGCATGCCTCTCTTGCCCCATGTGTCTAACTCAACTGACCTCGCTCTTTGTGACTTCTTTTTGTTTCCGT